CCTTATAAAGAGGAAACCTCAAACTATATTTGAATATTGAGATTTCCCAGTTGAAATGAAACAAAACCTTGCTAGCTCCCATGGAAAATCTCAAAGTTTGAAGGCATTTTTACTCAAACTCGGGTTTTTTTGTTGCTACTGCTCAAAAAAGTGCTTCAAAATTTTGTGTTATAATTACATTTCAGACAGTTCATTCAAATGATATGTTGATGAGCCATTTATTCATTATGTTTTGACAAAATGCAATTTTTGCAAAAGTTTTAATCAAAATACCTATACTTGCTTGTTTCTCCTTATACCACTTTTAGACTTAATCCTCATATCGATGTGATGGGTCACATWTAATAATTTGAGTGAATAACTAAGGTTTTCAGAAGGTTTTCATTTTAAAAAGGCTACGATGGGTAAAATGTATTTTACTTTGATCTAAAACTAAAAAAGTATCAAAATCATCTCATTTGCTAACATGATAAATTTAACCAAATAAACATATAGTTGTTTTTTTGTTGTTTTTTTTCAACTAACAAACCAGCTGATCTAATGTAACCTTTCTTACCCAGCTTGATGATTGACCAAATGTGACCAGAGAGCAGAAGCTTGCATTGACCGGGCGACCAGAGGAGAAGAAGAGCCGCAGCCGAAATGATGCCAAAGGACGCCACTTGCCTTCAGTTTGAGCATCTGATCGTAGAATTGATATAAAAGAAGCTGCGACGGTTGTGACTGCTCTCTCCTTTTCTTCCACAGAACTAACTTTAGTCCACGGAGCCGCCTGAGTTACAGGATGTTTCAGACCTGGGAGGGTTACAGTTATGAGCAGAATGTGACCCAGCGAGTTCCTCCAAAACCAGAACAGCGACTCATCAAAAACATTCCTCACCTGAGCTGTCAGAAACTCATACGCAGTTTAACAGCAGTTAATTTGAGCTGGATTTAAAACTACTCTTTAAATCTTTTTATTACCTTAGTTCAACTGAAACAGAAAACTTTATATATACAGTATATATGTAAATATTTGACCCATTGACTTTTAACCCACTGCAATAAATTATATAGGTTTCATTGAAACAATGTTCGTTGTTGTTGTTTTTTTCCTTTATTGTCCTTATTTTTCTCACCTACTACCAAAAGACAAATATGAATAGTTACATTTTTGCTTGAGTGTGTGTGTCTGTTACCAAACTGTGTCATTAACCACAGGATGAATTTTAATGAGACTTGCACAAAGTAATTAACTAAACTGATTGTTTGGAGCCAGCTTTATTGAAGATGGCTGCCACAGCTAAGTGACCTTCAAAAACCACAAAAATGAGCTTTAACACAGTCAAAGGGACAGATTTTGACCTAATACACAAAAAAGTCACCACCTGGATTTAACTATGATGTGGGATTGCTGCAGGTGGTCAGGTCTAGGTTCRGCAACATTTTGTGCCCAAAGAATGAGGTCAGCTGACTACCTGAATATACTGAATGACCAGGTTATTCCAACGATGGATTGTTTCTTCCCTGAAGGCACGGCCACATTCCAAAATGACAATGCCAGGATTGTGACCATCTGAATTGTGAAAGAGTGGTTCAGGGAGCATGAGACATCATTTTCACACATGGATTGGCTCTACAGAGTCCACTGAGAATCTTTGGGATGTGCTGGAGAAGGCTTGGCGCAGCTGTCAGACTCTACCATCATCAATGGCATCTTGGTGAAAAATGAATGCAACTCTGGATTGAAATAAATCTTGTGATTTTGCAGAAGCTTATCTAAACAATGTCACAACGAATGTGTGCCGTAATCAAAGCTAAAGGTGGCCCAACAAAATACTAGAGTGTGTGACCTTTTTTTTTGGCCARGCAGTGTATTTGATGTGGCAGTAGCTGAGAGTCACTTAAAACACATATTCTGACCTTGACTTCTCATGAGTCTTCATAACAACACTTTCAAAGTTTGACAAAAATGGATACARCATAATCATTTCTCAGCACAAGTTGACAAGTGGGCAATATCTCCATCTTTTCCTCTTGTTGTACCCACCCGCCGCTGGGGGCAGCCCGCATCCAGACAGGAGGTAGTCCCGTTCTTTCCGGGGTGAAGAGTCCTCACCCGATCTCTAAGGCTGAGCCCGRGCACCCTACGAAGGAAGCTCATGTTGGCTGCTTGTATCCAGGGTTTCGTTTTTTCAGTCATGATCCACGCCTCGTGACCACAGCTGAGGGTTAGAAGGTGAGGCAGACCAGTAAATGGAGAGCTTTACCTTTCAACTCAAATCTTTCTGCACCACTGAGGATGAGGCCCTGATCTGTCGAACCATCTCCAGCTCCATCCAGATAGTTAAACTATTCCAGTTGAAACAAATACCCCCCACACCCCCACCCCCACCCCACCTGGATGGAGCATTTCACCCTCTTCCAGTCGAGAACCATCAGATTGAGAGGAACTAACTCTTATCCCAGCCGCTTCACAATCAGCTTCAAACTGCCCCAGTGCACGCTGAAGGTCTTGTTCTGAAGACGCCAACAGAACCACATCATCTGCATAAAATAAAAACAAGACCCTATGGTTCCCAAACCAGACACCCTCCTCTCCATGACTGTGCCTTGAGATCCTGTCCATGAACACTATAAGCAGGACTGGAGACAAGGGACAGCCCTGCTGGAGTCTAACCTGCACTGAGAACAAGTTTGACTTTGTGCCAAGGTGGGTAAACTGTATTACTTTAAGGAATGTTGGGTCTTTTTTGTCATGATCGGTGTTTTTGTCTTCACTTTCTGGTGTCCTGATGCRTCTCAGTAATCCAGGTAAAAAATCAAAAAGAAAAAATTGTATAGGTCTTCTGGACGGGTTCTTCTCTAMTGAAACGTTTCGTCTCTCCTCCAAGAGACTTCTTCAGTCTGAGAGTTTCAGGCAAAATTCAGGCTTTTAAGCCCTGCCTCCGTGTGTATCAATCACATGGAGGCAGGGCTTAAAAGCCTGAATTTTGCCTGAAACTCTCAGACTGAAGAAGTCTCTTGGAGGAGAGACGAAACGTTTCATTAGAGAAGAACCCGTCCAGAAGACCTATACTATTTTTTTCTTTTTTTTTTTTCACTTTCTAGTGTTTTTCTGTTTCCCTGTGTTTCTCTGCCCTGCAGCCCCACCCTCGCTCACCTGTCTCCTCTTGTGTTTCCCCAGGTGTTTCCCATCGTTCCTTAATTTGTTTGCTTTATATTCTGAGTCTTGTCTTCTGTCTTGGTGGGATCATTGTTCAGCCTCCCCTGACTGTGACCTGCTTCCGTGTTTCCTGTTACCTTGACCTCAAGTGAGTTTTTTGTGCTGCACTGCCAGACGTTCRATTTAAATTAAATACCTTKTTTTTCCAGTTTTGAACCTGCCTGCGCCCTGGGTTTTTTGCCTGCTATAAAACCTGATATTTTTAGTGTTTTTGTGAAATTTATATATGCGGTGTCTTAGAAAAGTTCTGTGTTAAAGACAGGAGCAGAGCCAAAGGAGTGACTGGAGTGGGAAGTGCCGCTCCTGGCACCTGATTGGCCACCCTCAGATAACTGACAAGTGAGTGGGGATCTTGGATTTCACATTAGCACTCAGATTTTTGTTAGATTGTCCTCTGATACTTCTGTAGTAATTTTAGCTGCATATGTTTATAAATGGCAGAATTATAGCCATTTGTAAAATTAGCATTAGTGGCTAGTCTAATTTGAGATTAGCATCAACAATTGTGATCATTCATACATTCATCCCAACAAATTTAATCTCATTAAGTCTTAAAATTGCTGAATTATAGCTTTTTAAGGTTAGCAACCATTTGCAAAAAAGTCTCTCTGTGCCCCGATTAAAGAGTCCAAAAGTAGCTTTAAACTGTAAAAATTGTGGTTAAAAAAAAGAAATCAAAGTGGAACAAAACCAACTTTAGTTTAATATAAACAGAATTACTGACAATACTGTTGTCACAATATCTGACGCAGAACATAAATAGAACAAACATTTGTTTCAGCTAAATATTCTATACAAGTTCCCACAGAGTCCATATTTAATACATGACACAGATGCCTTCATTTTAGTTTATTACCACATAAATCAAACTCATTTTTACCCCTGGATTAAAATCTTTGCTCAAAGACAAACTGTGAACTTTAACTTGTCATCTATCACTAAGCAAAGTCAAATGTATAACTTGGATTGTTTGAATAAAAATAAATAAAATAAAAAAAATCAAGACTATTAAATTAGAAAAACAGTAGAATGCACCTTTCTCCCCACAGGTAGGACTCATCTGATTTATACTATTGTGTTGAATAGGTTTATACTATTGTGTTGAATAGGTTTATACTATTGTGTTGAATAGGTTCAACAATGAACAGCCAATTTAAGCAGTTTTATGGACTAAACTTTTTAAATGAGATTTTTTTAAACTGTATTGAGTTAACAATCAAAACAGTGTTCAGTTCTTTAAACTGAGCATCAATTAAAATGAAAACTATTTAAGAACCCATATAACCCATGACAGCCCRTCAGTAGGCTCAGTCCTGTCCTCTGGTGGTGCTGTGGTGAGGATTTTGCGGCAGAGTAGATGATCTGAGGGAGGACGTGTTCTCTGAGGCCACTGAATCAGAGTTAATAAGATTGCCCTTTTCGGAGCGGCCACACACGGTTGCTGAGAGGCTCCAGTCTGAAAGTAGATGAAGAAACACAATAAAAACACCCCMAAGGACCATAATTCTGCTGCACAGAGACGTGCACCGTGGCTCCAGGTACCTGAGTTATCCGTKAGTCTAAAGTGTCCACAGCACAGATAAGTTCTCCACTGTTTCCTCACRTTCTCCTTCATCAAACAGTGGAACAGAAACACAAAAAATCCTGCAACAAAACGCACMGCATGTGAGTTCGACACCTAACGCTGATGCAAACAGCAGTGAACTTGGCTGCATTTAATGTGTGTCCAACAGCTGTACTAACCTTGTAAGGAATTGCAGATTGAAAACATGTACATCATGGCCACCCGGCCTGGCCCGAATGAAAACAAGCCCATGGACCAGGTCAGGCCCAGCAGAATGGTGAGGCCCACAACCGCTCTCAGGTCCTGCAAAGAGCTGCGTCCTTTTGCCGACAGGTTATTGGCCCTCATTCGTTTGATCTGGATCAGAACCACGATGAACACGGCCAAGTTGCCCAACAAGATGAGGACGACGACGGCCACCACCGTTACAAAGAAGACGACGTCATCCTGCAGCCAGCAGCTGGAGGAACAGAGAGTTGGGTTTGTTAGTGGCAGWTTTTGATTCATTTTGCAGCTAAATGATTTTTGGACTCACAATGGTTCTGTGGACTGAAGCGCCACCGCATTGTCTTTGGGTATCAAACTTCCATAAACATCTTTATCAATGGACAGAACCAGGATGATTATTAGCAAAGGGATACCTGTGAGGGCACAAAACATCCAAACCCATGCTTATATTTTTGTTAACATTTCTACTTTATCTTCATTATCACCAAATAAATCAAATTACTCTTATAGAAGCKTTTTGAAATTTCTGGAAGTTTCTTCAGATCATTTGAACAGAAGACAAAAATCATCTAAAATAAACAAAGTTATTTGTTTAGGTTTATTTTGTCGAGCTTCAAAATGCGCCCTCTAGTGGTGACATGAGCAATGAAAGGAAAATTATTTGTTTTGTTTTATRTTCCTGCATGTTTTTGGTCCAAAACAAGACTATTTCCCAGATCCTGAATGACTAAAACTGAGTAAATATGATGCCCGAAGGAATCAAACAGGGAATAGGACCAAAAGTAAGTGATTTGTTTTAAATAAGAATTCCTAATTAATTTCACCTCTTACCTTGGTGCTTCTTTACAAGTAACATTGTATACCCTAAAATATGAATCATTTGGCGCCCCATAACAATGAGTTGTTTATAACTCATGGTTATGGGGTGCCAAATGTAAAATAAAATGTTTAAAAAATGCCACTAACATATTTTCATTGTTTAGCTCGCTTGTAAAATCCTAGTTAAAGCATTTCYTCTAATATTTTCTCGTTGTTTAGCTCAGTGCTCTTATATTTTACTAATTTTTACTACATGATAAATTTAAATGTTAAATTTTATGTCTAAATGTTAATCCTAAATCTTTGTTGTYAACTGTTAAAGTTTACATTTAGGTTTTCAGAATGGAACGCAGTCTTTGCTGTTGGTGTTTGGCTTTGTGACATCATCATCGCGATTATGACAAAAGCAAACTGTAATACTGCTAATGCTGCTAACGCTGCTAAATCTGCTAATGCTGCTAATGCTGCCACAAGACATCAACTTGCAGTTGTGGTCTGAGTACGAGCTGCGCTTCAAACTTCTGGACCACAGGTACCACCCATCATATTGTTCTCAATAAACACATTTTAAATTTAGATATTAAATACCATTTTCAGCAGTGTTAGCAAAGTGTTTTCCCTTTTTGCAACCCAAACTTCTTCCTTACCCCATCCAGCAACGCAGAACTTGAGGATGTAAGCGGACACGTAGGTGTTGAACACCTTAACCAGAGCAAGGTACATGTGCACAGCCTCCAGACCCATCCAGATGAAGGAGGCCAGCATGAAGTAGTGAAGGGACGCAGCGGTTGTGATGCACAGACCGTAGCTGTTGAAGGATGAGAGCCAGGAGTCAAGGAGGAAGAGCATGCTCAGCCCCAGGAGTGCAGTGGACAGGTTGATGAGTATCTTAGCTGGATAGTCCTGACGCAGCTTCCTGAAAGAGAGGCCGATTGGTGAGGGTCTAGGAGGTCTTTAGAAGTCTTGGTTTATCAACAAGAATCAAACTATGTATTACTGCTTTAATAATGAAGCTAAAACAACACTAAGACATAAAGCAAATAGTGAAAAGGTTTTTTTTCTTTGGATACTGAGGCTTCTTAAGACAAATCCATTTTGGTATCATAGTTGGACATTTAGGGATTGTGTTCTTACTGTCTAACAAAGAGATGTTGAACTCATTTACACAAGGGGGCAAAAATTAAAAACTTGGTCCAAGCTATGGGCCAATTTCTTTATTAAAGAAATTAAGTAACAAATTATTCTTAATACCAATGACTTTTACAAAGTTGTGTCTTATGTAGCATTTAGAACATACATAACCTAACAGATAAAGAAAAGAAATTACATTTTTAGACTCATCTTCAGTAGTGATTTCTTCGGTCTCACTCTTTACCAACAACTATTTCATTTATCATATCTAGAGATACTTTTTTATCACAATCCAGCAAATCAGGTTAAAAAATCTCACTAAAAATCCAATTATTTCACTTTAAATAAGTAAATAACAAAGAAAAAGGTAATTAAAGCCAATTCTCTGTTGCTCTTTTCACACCAAAATCAAAGATTACAGAAAATTCAAACTTCATTTTCTTGTCTTGAAAGTTGACCAGCTGTCATGAGAACAGTGCACTAAACTATAATAATAACTATGAAAACACTAAATATAAAAAAACTACTTCCAAATAAATGTCARCCAGAGCTAAATGGAGCCAGAGAAACTTGAGTTTAACATCTGGTCTAACATGTAATTATGTAATAAAACAGTTTTAATTAGAAGAAGCRGTCACAAAATGAAAAGCAGTTATTCCTAATTGATGACTAATTACATAATTGTTGAAAAAGCAGTTTCTGTCTCTACTCTTTGTTGTAGCTGTCAATTTCAGCATGACGGCTATTTGGAAAGTATACATAAACTTGTTGTGTTACAAAACAACWAGACAGCTTCGTGGTGACTTACTCAAAGACAAGATAAGTGAGCAAAGTGATGCCCAGAAAGATGGAGGATATTCCACAACCAACATAAGAAATCACTGTTAGAATCTCGTTGTCAGTTTTACTGATAGAAGTTCGTGACACATCCTGAAATACACAAAAGACAAAAACAGTATTTTAAGATTCTGTTAATGCAATACAATCAGTGTAAAACTTAGTGTATTTTTAGGGTATAAGTACATAAAATGAATATGTTAGTGTCTGTGACATGCATATCATACAAAAAGTTAAAGAAAAATCTGTTTAAGAAACTTGGCATAACACACATGRTTTTACCCATTTGATCACAAAACTGGCATATTTACTTTTGAACTTGACTCAGCAAAAGTGAAACAGGAAGTGACATCAAAGGGGAACTCTTTAACAAAGACAGCTCCCTGGTCTTTGTTGAAATAATGTAATTTGAAGTCCGACTCTTCTTCATCTCTCTAATAGTGACTCAAAATAACCTAAAGAAACGTCAGATTCTTCTCTACAGTCTGTGTTGTTAGCTGTTGTAGCAATGCTCTGTTTACATGCAGACATTCCCCTTTGACATCACTTCCTGTTACTTCACATGCAAATATCTCAACAGCTGTTCATCTCAGGGGCATGAAATTTGTTTTGCAGTATGTTATCAGTGTTATMTTTYCAAAAATGCATTCATATTTATTGCAAAAAAATTGACGTCACTGGTACTTTAAAGCAGAACACAGCTCAACAGATTGCCTGCAGTATGTTTGTCCACGTGAGAGTTTGATCCTTGCTTTCCTTTAGAAGACTAGAAGACCCCCCCCCCCCCCCCCCCCGCCGCCTCCAAAACTCACAAGGAGAACGGCGAAATGCGTGAGGTGATCACAGAGACAGCTGGTCTGATGAGAGGAGATACTCCGAGTCTCACAGCCGCTGCTGTTCCAACCACCGAGGCCACCTGACACACACACACACACACATTTGATTAAACCTCCTTATCAACAGACGCCCAGCTTCCTGTTTCTATGAACCTTTATGAATCAAACTGTTTCCTTAATGATGCTCCGTTACAGTAACTCATCTAGCTGTTCACACAGACGGTTATTAGCAAAGATCAACTCACCGTACTTCTGGAAATCCCAAAACATGCACTGCACCTTGTCTTCTGGCTACAAACAATGAAGAGATATTAACGGAACAGGAATTTCATAAAGAGGTTTGGTTACAGCTGACAAAATGAAAGCAATAATTCTCACCTTTTTGGGATTTACATGGCTGAGGTTCACCACCACTCGTTTCTCCAGGTTGACGACGTGGGTGTTGTTGATGCTGGCAGATACTATATAGGAGTTTAATGTCCAGTTGCTTTGTGTTGCATTCGCTAAATAAGTGTCCTGTTAAAAAAAGAGCACAATAATGCACTGCAAAGGGCAAATCTGTAACCTGTCGTGCAAAAACATCCAAATAAAGTCATATTTTTAAAGCTGTTATATATAAAAAGCTCCTTTTATGGAAGATTAGTGAGGTGATTTAGTTCACATTTCTTGTTTGTCCATACTGTAAAAAGTCATGTGTAAAACATGTTGCCTGGAAACATCAGGACGTCAGAAGCAGCCAAACATATAAACCCAGCAAAACAACAAGTCTCGTCAGGTGTTTACTCTGTTTCCAGCATACTTCCCTACATTTTGAAAGATTCCTTTAATTATTAGACAAGTGGTATGCTGATCCACAACAATAAACTCAAACATATTRAACAGAATAAAAGGAAATACCTGAAAAAGGTCTGGGGTTCCATAAAACTGAAACTGGACTCGTGTGGTGTTTTTGTCTCCGGTGGGTAAAAAGTTGTTGAGCTCAGAGGGCAGAGAGATCGTGGCGTTTACCTCAGGGAATGGTTTTTTCACAAAACTGTGGTTAACAAAAACCTGAGAAATAAAAAAAAGAAAAACCTTTAATTTGATTTGATAGTTTCTCATCATTTCTTAAAAAAAATCACTTATTGGACTTCAAAGGGGACATATGCAAAATACACTTTTTTAAGTTTTGTTGTGTACTTRAAGTCTGTACAAGTGCAGAAAGTTGAATTTAGTTTCTCCCGGTGCTGCGTCTTTATATTCTGTTTGAGTCATATTTTTCAACCCATRTTTCACYTTTCTCTATATTGCATCTTTTGAACAAYAACRTCACAGTATTTACTGTGGAGCTGCTAAACAACGTCRTGGACTTCCAGCTAATATCTTCAGGGCAGCAGGTCACTGCATCARCTCTTCTCGTTAACACCAGTAATAATTACAGCAGTGAGGTGATGTGGAGAAGTTGTAAACTTTGATCRTCTTTCTCACCTGTAAATTTGCTAAGACCTTTGAATGATCTTAGCATGGAGAAGTCTGGTTAATTTATCCAAACTGATGTGGTTCTGTATCTATCTAGAGCAARTAAGATATTTATCATTCACAACTTTTCTAAATAAACCCGCTTCAAAAGACTGGACCTATTGCTTTAMGCTTATTTATTACTTTGCTGTTTGGAATTTTTCTTGGCTCTTTTGTATTCTGAGTTTTTCAGTAAATTACAGTAAATTTATTTTATTTTATTTTATTTTTTTTTGCATTTCATTTACTTTATCTAATTCTTAACATTTGCAGTGTCCCATTACAAGTATAGTAGTTATAATRCTGAATATAGTTTGTTAGATAGCGGAATATACAGGTTGTATTTGAATGTGCCATTAGGACATTACTCTGGTTGTGTTGTCATGAAAAGTTGTGAAGAAATGCAACCATTTTTAATTATTCAGAAGCGCTTTCTTCAAGCTTTGTCAAACATTTTAAATAACCCTTCAGCACATCTTACCTCGGGGTTCATTGAATTTGTCAGAGACACTCCAAAGGTTAGGCCACTGAATTCTTCTGGATCAACATCAATCATGGAAAGGGCGAGGGCTGGAGCTTTTAGATTCGCAATTTCCCCCTGGAACTCCATGCTGTTCCCCATCCGGTCTGTCAGATCAAGAACACTTTGCAAAACAAGAAGTGGAACAAAAGGTTAACAAATACATGAATTCCTTCTTCTTCTTCTGTCTATTTTTACAATGCAATGCCTTTTTGTCTTACTTGTTAGCCACAGGTGTGACGTCCGTTTCAGAAAGCAGGATGTTGGCAACAATATTCACAATGTCCCCTCCGATGACGGGCTCAATGGGGCTTATTTCAACCACCTCGCTGAGCTTGTCCATCACTGAGCCCAGCTCAGAGGACGAGAGCTGGGAGCCGTTCCCCAACTGGACATCTACCAGGTCCTGAATCATGTCCACAACTTCAGCTGCATTATCTGGACGTCATTGACACACATATTAATTAATTATTGTCAAAGCTTTGAAACGATCCAAAAAGCTGGAATGAGTGAGTGATATGGACCCTCTTACCGGGGGTGACGGTGATGTTGGTGATATCTGATATTGTCAGAACCTGGTTGCAGTTTGACATATCAGGATCCGCCCAGTAGCTCGTGTCCGTTTCTATGTCTAATTTACTGAAATCAAAAGATCAATGAGAGGAAAAAGATGAAAAATGACAGTGTTTTGATCCTCGTCTTGTGACAGCCTGTTTCTGAACCCAAACGATCTAATAACAGTGAAAGATCAAATTTAACTTCATAAGCATCAACTCTGTGTTTCAAAGCAGCCATAAAACAAATCATTACAGTCGTTTGTCTTAATAACGCAGTTATTGCTTGACAGATGAAATGCTTTATTGCACAGATAATYAGTGTGTGGGAAATCAGTTTATTTCTCTTTGAGCTGCAGGAGGGCAGGGATCCAACCAGCCGTGTTACCGTTCAAAACCAGGATTTCACTTGTCGTTTTGAGACGGCTCCACAATTTCTGCCAAATATGATTAAGATAAAAGAGAAATCCACAAAGAAACAACTTTTCAGAGTCTCTCTTAGTTAATAATAAATATAATTATTTTTTTTTGTGAAGTATACACTATATGTGGTTGAACCGCTGCACTTTTTGACGAAAAGTGAACTCAGAACAAAAACTAAATTGTGTCAAATAAAAAAAAGCTCTTTATGTCTCACCAAAGTCTGTAGGCTCTGTTTGTTATGGGCTTTATGCAGACCATTTCTTGCCCATCATGTGGAAATGTTTCTGGCCAAATGTATCGTCCATAGATCGTTGACATGTCGTCTTCTAAACAGTTCTCTGGTTCTAAAACATATAAATGTATCATTTGTTAACAGTTTTTTTTTTTTTTTGCTCTCATTATTTGCGTTAGAAACGCAGCTCACCAATGTGTTTGATGGTCACTTTCAGAGGTTGAATGGTGAAGAAGTCGTTTTCATATGTTTTCGTCAAGGCAGCACGAATGAGCAATTCGATTTCTGCCACATCTTTGTTGCTATATTCTCGAACATGAAAGGTGCAATAATATCTGTTGATGAGGTAAACATAAAGTCAACTTATACAGCAACAAAAAACAAAAACAATGTTAAACTAATTGAATCTTATTGAATCTTACTGTTTCTGGTGGCTGTAGAACGTCTGGAAAACAAATTAATGTCAAATATTAATGTCAAACTGAAATCTAATTTCATTTTCTTAATTTAAAAATAAGCCCACTCACCGACTCACTGTTGTTGTTTTCTGTGTTTCTACAATATAAAAGAATTAAACAAGACCGAGACGTTATTTGACAGAGAATGGGGGGAAATAAAATAAATAAATGAAAAATAACAGAGGGCACAACCTGCTGATGTCCTCTGTTATGATGAGATTCAGTACATTCATTGTCTTGTTCACTTGGAGCTTTTCTTTCAACTTTTAAAAAGAGAAATATATGTATTTATTTATTTGTTGTTTTTAAACAAAACATGTAAAGTGTGGTTGTGTTTCTCACCCAGCTCTCAATGACAGCATGTGGTTTGGTCGGGCTCCCTGTCAAACTTAAAGTCACATTAACTCGGAAGAATTTATAGGAATTAACTGCAAAAGAGAGGAAACCCAACAGCACTGTGTTATATAAAAAAAAAAAATAAAAAAAAAAACAAGAATGAAAATAACCCAAAAGCCTTTTCTTTTACAATAGTTCATTTTTGTGTTGGTAAATCTTTTATGTGCACTGTGCAACAGAACAGAACAAAAACGTTACTTCATGATAAAAGCTTGAATGCTGGCAGGAAGCTGGCAATGTTTTCTTACAGACGGGCCCAGATCTGAGCTACATCGAATCCAGACAAAATGACACCCCTGCACAGGCCCATTCTCTTTCCTTTTCATTTGCTTAGAGTTTGATCAATCCCAAAGAGCTTAAAAGGTTATCAAGAAATTGGTTCTGATTTTTAAAACTACTAAGCATCAAATTTATTTAAATCTGTTTGAAAATCAGGCAGCTTTGAGGGAGGCCAAAGAAATGTTTGTGTGGCCCACAAGCCACCTGTTGATTCTTTTTACAGAATCTATTTCTTACTTTGATAACACAGTAAAATTGAAAAAGTGACATAAAAACAATAATAGAGACGTTTTGTGAACTGACCAACAGCAAAAGTGAGATCTGGTTTTCCAGTCGTCGACATGGGTTGAGTTAAAACACTCAGAGTTGGACTTGTTTCTGTAAAACAACGAGTATATTTTTTAGCATACATATATATATTTGTTCTTGTCCTGTTGCATCTCAGTAATCCAGGTAAAAAATCAAAAAAAATTGTGTAGGTCTTCTGGACGGGTTCTTCTTTAATGAAACATTTCGTCTCTTCTCCAAGAGACTTCTTCAGTCTGAGAGTTTCAGGCAAAATTCAGGCTTTTAAGCMCTGCCTCCATGTGACTGATACTCACATCACATGGCTATCRTTGACACCTAATTAACACCTATTGTTAACAGGGGGTGGAGTGATACTGGCAATAGCAGCGCTGTAGGAGGGGGAGAGCTGAAAACGGCGGCCTCCACCACTGTTTAATGATGGACGGTCTTTCTTCACAAAAATGGCTTCTTTTACTCCTCTCTCAAACCAACGTTCCTCTCTATCAAGAATGAGAACATCCTCATCTCTGAAAGAGTGACCGCTGGCCTGTAAATGAGTGAAAACTGCAGAGTTCTGGCCATTAGATGTAGCTCGTCTGTATTGGGACATTCTTTTGAACAGTGGTTGCTTTGTTTCCCCGATGTATACAGTAACTAGTCGCCGTCCTCCTGGCACTTAACAGCATATACAACATTGCTCTGTTTGTGCCATTTTTGTGAAGAAAGACCGTCCATCATTAAACAGAGGTGGAGGCCTCCGTTTTCAGTTGTCCCCCTCCTACAGCGCTGCTTTTGCCAGTATCACTCCACCCCCTGTTAACAATAGGTGTTAATTAGGTGTCAATGATAGCCATGTGATGTATCAGTCACATGGAGGCAGGGCTTAAAAGCCTGAATTTTGCCTGAAACTCTCTGACTGAAGAAGTCTCTTGGAGAAGAGACGAAACGTTTCATTAGAGAAGAACCCGTCCAGAAGACCTATACAATTTTTTTCTTTTTGATATTTGTTCTTGTTTTTTCCTTGTAAATTTTTCAGGCTTAGGTTAAAACAAACCCAATTCATTTCATTGTTAGTTAGACATAGCAAATCAATATTTATTATTCTCAGTGGCATGCTCACCTGGTGGAAATGAAGCCATGCTGATGGCTGTTGGAGGTTCTGTTGTTCCTGAGAGCGTCACTATCAAAGAGAAGCCATCATACATGCAGCATAAGTTTAATTTATAGAACTAAACCACAGATTTAATTTGTTTCCCTGTTATTCACGTTGGCATGTTTAGTCAATTGTCACATACATTTTCCTGAACTGAACAAAACACAAGCATTTTTGTCTTCAAAAGTACAGCATGTTGTTTTTTAATCTGTGGTGTTGATTCTAATTTCTGTTTGGGGCATGAATGTTTCTCTGCAGCACAAACTCACCCACAGGAAGTACGTAGATGCTGTTAATGACAGCTGTGATGGTGAGGAAGTTGAGAGAGAAACTCAAACTGAGTAATGCAGTCACTTCTGTCTGAACTATTTTTACATCGGTGGCAGGATCCACTTTTACAAAGACCTCGAAGCTGAAGCTACAAAAAAGGAAGAGAAATTAAAGAAAATTGGTAAAAGTAAACATTTGAATTGATTAGGGTGACAATTATCTTCTGTTTGAGCAGCTGTCCAGTATATTGTAACTTACTTTAGGGTGTGTCTTACCATTTATCACATGTTAAAGTTGATTCTCCTAAATCCTGAAAACACAGATGTGCAGTATTTAAATCTCCTGTGWATGTTTGCCTTTCACATCACATGCCTCATTTTACCGAACCCCTCACTTATACAAAAACATGGGTCAAAATTTAGTCATTTTAAAGTAGCAGTACAATATTTCACCATTATCTATCTGGCAACCCTGAATCCCGCTTCTGCTAATGCTACAGCTAACACTACTTTTACTAATGCTAGTAATACTGCTAATGCTACTAATGCAAATTTTAATAATGCAAATTTTAATAATGGTAAGTCTACTTGGGCTAATTCTACTACTGCTAATGCTAAACCATCTGCTGCTAATGCTAATTATACTGATGCTAAGGGGCCTATTGCTAATGCTAACTAATACAGTATTTGCTGTCTTTTTTTCTTATTTATATTTTTTATGTTACAACTTCTACTTCTAGTAAGATTTCTGCTATTTTAAGCTACAGTTTTGCTACTTTAAGCTTTTAGTCAGGTTCTTGCTGCTTCTAGCTTTACCTTTCAGCTAACATTTTGCTTCTTTTAGCTTCAAATAAGTCTTTTTTTTAATTAGCATTTTGCTACGTTGAACTTGTAGTTTGTTGTAGCCTGTATAATTTTCAGCTTTGCCTTTGATACTTTGAGTCTTTGGAACTTTGAGCTATCCTTTTTCTAATTTTAGCTTTGAGTTAGTCTTTTGTTACTTTAGCTAAAATTTTGCTACATTTTATTAAGAGCTAATATTTTGATATCCTTCATTAGCCTTACCTCTCACTGCCTTTTTATTACTTTAGTTAGCATTTTGTTACTTTTAGCTTTTAGCTAGTGTTCTGCATCTTTACTCATTTTAGCTTCTTTAGCAGCTTTAAGCAAAAATATTCAGAACTCAGCATTCAAACAGCATTTATGCAAAACGTTTTCAACCACTTTGGAAAATTTATCACTTTTTTTTTGCAATTTTGTTTCTCATTGAGTTTGAATGTTTAGGGTTTTTTATTATTATTATTCTAAGGTTATATAAATGCACCTCGTTCTACATTTGCCACTTTCTACCATTGCTTTTCGCCCAGTACAAAACTCATATGTGTACCTGAGGTTGTTGTGCTTGAAAAGCAGCTGCATTATTACCCAAGAGGCACGTCGGCCTGTAAGGGAACACAGATAACAACTGAAAATCAACAATGTTATCCAGTCACTCCTGTGATTGTAAAACTATAATATTTGCTATAGGTTCCTCAGACGCGTGTCCTGTTTTAAAAAAAGGAAGTGATACCGAGTAAATTTACTCAGGTGCACTAATTCATGCTCTTGTACTTTGCCTTAAATTCATTACTTAATATTATGGTTTGTTTTAACAAATCAAAAAATAAAAATAACTTCACCTTGGAGATGACACAACAATGTTTTGGACAGAAATGTTTTTAGGCAAAACGCTCTCCAGCTGAAAACAAAAATAAATATGACAAATTATTACTTTGAACACTAAATAGAACTTTATGTTTATTTTAATTGTTTTGTACCCATGTTCTTGTGATTTCCTCCAGTGGCACTGAGCAGTTTTCAGGGTCTGTGGAGTCATTCATAAAAGCCCACAGTTTGATTTTGTACTGGGACCATCCTGAAAAATAAGAAATAAATACAATAAGGGGCAAGAAATGTCTAAATATGCCAGATCTATGTCCTGATGCATCTCAGTAATCCAGGTAAAAAATCAAAAAGAAAAAAATTGTRTAGGTCTTCTGGACGGGTTCTTCTCTAATGAAACGTTTCGTCTCTCCTCCAAGAGACTTCTTCAGTCTGAGAGTTTCAGGCAAAATTCAGGCTTTTAAGCCCTGCCTCCATGTGACTGATACTCACATCACATGGCTATTGTTGACACCTAATTAACACTTATTGTTAACAGGGGGTGGAGTGATACTGGCAATAGCCGTGCTGTAGGAGGGGGACAACTGAAAACAGAGGCCTCCACCTCTGTTTAATGATGGACGGTCTTTCTTCACAACAATGGCTTCTTTTACTCCTCTCTCAAACCAATGGAGTCACATGGTCAGTCACATGGAGGCAGTGCTTAAAAGCCTGAATTTTGCCTGAAACTCTCAGACTGAAGAAGTCTCTTGGAGAAGAGACGAAACRTTTCATTARAGAAGAACCCGTCCAGAAGACCTATACAATTTTTTTCTTTTTGATGCCAGATCTATAACAAAATATTGTTTTTTTAATGTTCATTTATGAGGACACTCCTGTTGACTTTTTATGAGCAACAGAAATAGTTTGCAGTGTTTGTACCACAGTGTAGGCTGCTGTCGGGTTCAGGAGGACAGTCATATTTCCATTGCTGCAGGTCCCAGCTCAGCACGTCCCCCTCTGCACAGTTCTGTCTGATCAGCTCCTCTGCTCTCCACTTTCTCCCCCACATCCTGAACAGACCGATCTCACCCAGCAGTTTATTCCCACTCTCCGGCCGTAATTCTCCGTTAACGCTAACAAAGTGAGACACCCCCAGAGTCAGAGTGCCATTCGGGGCCAGCCGATTTTGCAGACCCTCCCCTGGAGCCAGATGCGTTTCCAGCACAAGCCCATCGACGTATGTTCTCAGCTCCTGGTCTCGATCAGACCAGGTGAGGCAGACGGTGTACCACTCGTTCAGTTTTAACTCCATGGGCACCTGGTACGCTTTCCCAAACAGCCATGTCGTCAGCTCCGTGGGTGTGCCTCTGAGTCCCAGCTCGATGTGATGCTTCCCAGGTGCTTTGTAGACAAAACCTGTCCATTCTGTTCCATGGGTGAGTTTTAAAAGTGTGCAAACGCTCAGCTCGCTCAAGGCTGGAACCAACACCTTTGGGTGCAGCTGCCACAAACAAGGGGGGCCTTTAAACAGCAACTTGTCCCCCCACAAGCTGGTGCCCACAGAGGCTGCTGTGATACACATACAAGTTACAGATTAATAAATCCATTAGCACATTCTGTTCAGTTAGGCTCGTGTCATTAATTGCTCAAGGTCAAGTAGAAAAAACACTGGAAAAAGCAGGACAAAGTGGTGCGAAGACACACTTTCACATTACTTTATAGCTACCAGTGAAGACAAGGGCAAATGCTTAAAATCAGTTTGATCTTACCTGAAACCAGAGGACACAGTGACTCAAATATGAGAAAATAGACGCCAAAAAAAAGCTGCCCTCTCATAGAGTTCATGACAGCAAATCTTTTCAAAAAATCTCCAGATTTCAGCTTTCATCAAGGGGCCATCTGTTGGACAAAAATCAGTGAGAGTTTAGTCGTTTATGTTCTCCTTAAAAGAAACATAAAGATTAATTATTATTGAGCATATAAAACTCTGACTTACCGTGGTGTTTTCTTAAGGAAGCTCAGATCAAATGGTGTTTTTGCCAATAGTTTGCTGCTGGAGAGGCTGTTTGAACCGTAAGACAGCTGGCCACTRAAGGTTTATTACTCTGTAAGAACATCACCACACCCTCTCTCCAGCCTTCAGTGTATGAAGTTACTCATTATTCACCTGCAACAAAAATAGCTAACAATCGTGATAACGTAAAACCAGACACTTCACGAAACACACACACACACAAAAATGTCAGCGTTAAAGACACATCATGTTTCTGAACTTATTCTGAAGTTTACAGAACTTGTAAATATTTAGTTTGACACACATACAGGAGTAAATAGTTATTATTTAACAGCCTCATGTCTAATTAGGTTATAAAACAGGCTTATCTATAGTTCATTTCTTCTTTGCATGTTTTATAGGAAACGTACTAATGAAAGTTTAAAGCAGCAGACTTCAGTTGTTATTTACAAATAAAATATTTTTTAATTAATCTCATAAATGTTGATTACAGCTGTATTGTGTACAAGAAAATAATAGTTATTACTTTGTTAAGAAACGTGTGTGAGTCAAGACCGATATAATTCCTATAGGAACTAAAGTCTGGTCCCATGGTGGAACATCCTTTTAAGGTTAGGGGTCAGGTTTAGAGCTAAGGAGTGAATCGAGATTAGATTRGGATTAGTTATATGGTTGTTAGGGTTAGGGTCAAGGTGAGGCGACAGAAATGAATGGAGGTCAAGACAATATCCTAACAAGGTTAGAAATACAAATGTGTGTGTGTTTTTGTTACCTTGTAAGCTCCATTTTTCCAAAACAAACTTTGTGAGGACCTGCTGCTCCTTGTGGTGCCTGGGCTTTAGGCCCCATAAGGAGCGGTGCTGTTGGTGGATTAGGGGTTAGGTTTAGGACTAAGGTGTAAATTGAGATTAGATTAGATATACACGTTAGTTGTAATCACTGAGTTTAGGGTTGGGGTCAAAGTAAGGCTACAGACATGAATAGTAGTCAAGACAATGTCCTTAAAGGACAGGAATACAACCATGTGTGTGTGTGTGTGTGTGTGTGTGTGTGTGTGTGTGTGTGTGTGTGTGTGTGTGTGTGTGTGTGTGTGTGT